ACGAACAGTTGGAAGAATGTACCGTGTCGAATGTGGCTTAATCGAAAGAGGATTGAGTAAAATACGAGACTCGGGATAATCAAATTCATCGATTAATCACCGTAGAAGTTGAAGAAGAGGAAAAGAACCAGAGAGAGAGGAAAAAAGGAGCAGTACCGTTAGGAGATCGAGTAACGAGTCTAATCAGAGCGAGATCGCCTGGAGACGTTTGAAAGAAACGGTTGGCAACGCAACGCTTGTGAGAAAAGCGATAGGCGAGGCGGCAAACAAATTAACACAGGCTCGAAGTTGCTCGAGCGAGACGATCGCAGATCGGGTCGATGAAAAGACGAGACTCGACGTATCGTCGTACGGTGGATTACAGATTGAAACGTGTGTGTGTGTGTTAGTCGAACGTTAAATCCAACACCCGGAGGAGAGAAAAGCCGTGGTATATTGCTACCGTGTTAACTCGAAAACCGCGAGTAACACGAGTCTCGTTACACGTATACCCGGTGCAATTGCAATTCACGCAACTTGGTTACACGATCGAATGTCACGGAAGAATTTCCACGTAACTTTAACAGCGGATCGAATAGAGATGTGTCTTTAATGTAGAAAGAAAACGAGAGAGAAAAATTGGAAAAAGTGGTAGGACGAAAAAGAAGCGAAAGGAGGATTTTCGCGCGTTTCTCTCTCGATCGAGCCCACGTAATTTCTATAAAAGCCACGACTACGCAGCAAGCAGGGACGACGGCGTAGTTAACGACGTGGGCCGTGGTCGATCGTGCAATTAACTTTAACGAACGGCGGCCTTGCGATTAAACTTAATTAGTATCGCGGTAATAACTCGTTAATAATCAGAACCGTGTGTAGCACGCTGCGGCTATAATGCGCACGGTTTCTTCTCGTGCACGTGCACACACGTGCGCACACGGCGGCACGCGGGTGTTTCGGGGCATGCAGATTTTACACCGCGATATTCGTGTTTTTCCTTTTTTTGTTTTTCGTCTTTCTTTTCGTTTTTCTTTTATTTTCATATTTACGTGACTACGGTGGACCAACGGGGGTAGAGGGAAGGCGCACACGACGTTCTAAACAGTTGGATGGACGTGTGTTGAACCGTTGAAGAAGGCTCCCTTCTCTCTCAAACGACGCGGAGGCGTGTACATTTAGCGAACCAGCACAATCATCACCAACAATCAACCGAATTGAACGTAAGCAAATCATCACGTATAGAAATTCATTATTATTCACTGGCCGTGTCCGTGGCGGCACATTTGTCTCCTTCCAAAAGCTTACGGTGGTGGTGTTCGTGTAGATTTCTTGGGTTTACAGCCTATTAAACTCTCGACGGTTCACAAAAATCGTATAATAACAGCACCAGTGTAGATCCATGGGTTGTCCCGCGGCCAACTTCACCTTCCTCGTGTACACGGGTTCCTATCTTCTCTTTCTCTCGTGTTCACTTACAGACAAAGAGTAATCATCGGTTGCCAGCGACGAGAAACACACGAAGAGGCCGCACCATTGATGAAACACGGCGAGAGCCTCGAGTATAAACAGGACAGAGAGAAAACGTTGGAATCGTAGAACCGGCACTGACTGAATGATTGACGGACTCTGACTGAATGGTTGGTCGGTCGGTCGGTTGACTGGCAAGAGACGCGCGCTTCTCTGCGTCGCAAGTCTCTCTACCAACACACCCGGTGTTACAGCCGCTACGTTCCTCTTTCTTCCTTCCGTGTTGCTTCTTTTCTCTTTTTCTTTCTCCCCTCGCAGTAGCTTTATATTTTGTTTACCCGTGTCTCTCCTGAGAAGACACCGTAGACGAACGTTTGCCGCACGATCGACGACGACGCAAAAGTACACAACGATGCAACCGTGAAGCCAGAAAAACGATCGACCAATCCCGCCGTACAGAGTGAGGGAGAGAGAGACGCGTCTGTCAAGCCTCGTCGGATAGATGTGGACAGATAAACAACGAATAGAGAACGCGCGCAAGATAGAACGGCGGCGATTATACACACGGGCAGAATGTTCCGAAAAAAGGGAACGAAGAAGTATAGGAGAGAAGAGAAAAAAAACGTAAAAAGTACGATAAGAACGGGTGGTCGTAGAAACACACCGCGCGCTTCGTTCAGTATCCCGGACCGTACTTAGTCAACGTAGCCGACGAACAAACGTAAAAACGTGCACTACCGTCTCTCTCTCCCGGCTGCGACGAGCGAGGCGGTTAGAAACATCGAGCACGAACCTGATTGCGGGGCGGCGCACCGAATTATGGGCCGCTATGCGCTTTCGGCGGCCTCTCGCTCCCTCTCCACCTTCTATATCCCTCTTTGTCGGTCTTAACCGCTCCCTGTCGCGCTACTTCGTCTCTCATCCCCGCCACTACCGCCGTGCTTACCCCACCACCGTCGCGAACGTACCTCTCCGTCTCGCGCTAGGGACTCGCCCCCACCAGAATCAACCGAACATGCTCCTAGAGCGTTCTATAGAGAGCTTCCCCTACCCTGTGCACGCTTATTGTTGGCGCGAGCGGTAGCATTGCCCCTTGCGCCTGACTCTAAAGCTCTCTCGCGAGAGCAACGTTGCCACCTTACGGCGTACCCGTGGGGATGATGAACGCGAGAGAGCCACAAGCGACGCCCGACGTCCCACGACGCCTCGCTCGCTCGCTCGGTACACGCACCGGCGTGGCGTCTCCTCGTGTATATACGCTGCCTGCTTCCGACCGGAAGCTACGTGACCGCCCTCGTGCCGCCGCGACAGACGCTGTCTGACGATCCGCGTCGCGGTTGATCGATGATCGGATAACGCGCGGTCGTGCAGGTAGTAAAGGGTTACTCTGGCAAGAGTGGAAGGGTGACTTTTCGAAGGGGAAAGTTGTCAGGGTGCTTTCGCTACTTGAGTAGCAAAGCTTCTTTTTTTTTTTTCATGCATGCGGTAAATATAGGGTAGTTGATTTAGGTGCACTGGGTGAATCTTGGAAGATCGCTCGAGAAGCTTGGATTTTTCCGATAAATTTTCGGGGATCTTCGATCGAGCGGAGATTTTTATTAACGATCGTATTAAAATTTCTCGAAATAGTTTATTCCACTACCTGGCGGTAATCTTACGATAACGTTATCTACCGTTACCGAAGGCTTTCAAGGATTAGTCACGAATACGTGCGTCGTCTTTGTACAAGGCTCGTTTAAATAACAATTACCGCTTGGATGAACAATGTTCTGGCTCCAGCCGCTAGCATGCAGCACTGCATGGTGCACGTTCCTCGGATTCTCTTCAAGCTACGCATTGTTTTACGATCAATAACGTTCGATCGGAGGTGTACGTTGAACACAAAGTGCGTCTTTATCGAGAGCTAGGCGGTTGTTGGAGGTAAACTCGAACGTTTTCAGGTGGATAGGTCGGTAAGAAGATCTCGAGGATGGTCGAGGAACCGAGAGCGAAGAGGGTGGCTACCCTCTCGCGGAAAAGTGCACGTCGTTTCCTCTTTCGCGAGTAACCTACTCTTTCGTTACACTTCTTTCACCCTCCGTTAGATGTCGTTGTGCTCGAGGAGAATTTTCGGGGGTGGTTTCAACCCCCCTCGTTTTACGTAAACACGAGCTTTGAATAGGACCGTTGGGCAGGATCGAGTAAAACTTCGGATTATGTTAGCATCGATTATTTATGAACGCTGCGTATACAGCACATGGTCCGTTTAACTAATTACAACGGCCGGTAATTAGACCAGTCTCAGTCAGCTTAGCCTGTAGCATTTAGCGTAAGTTAATAACGCGTAATTAAACGAAAGCGCCGCTCTTAATGACTACTTCGCGGTAAACAGCTTAACGACGTATCGTCGTTTCGAAACAGACCTCAAACGCGTGCAACGAGAGTCCCTGTGATAACGGGTACCGCGTCGAACGATAAGCGGAACGATCGGTCGCTTGTAACGTAATTTGTTTCAATCGTTCGGTTACACGCTGGCCAATTGATAACTCTCGTTTCAGCCATTGTTTATTAATTTATTACAATAGCGCTACTTGTCGATTAATCATTTTTTCGATAAGATTGACGAATCGCACGATAAACGAAGAAAAAGAATGATTCAGATAGTGAATATTTTATTGATTACATTTGCATCGTGCAGTAGTATCTGGCTACCTTTGTTCTTATTTATAACGCACGTATTAAAAATAAAAATCAAGTAGGGTGATTCGAGTTTTCCTACTAGTTTTTCATGAAAACATAACTAATTATTAAGTGACTTATTTCAAGTTTAATCCATCACTATAGCCTAGAGCCAGCCGTCAAATCCTAACTAACTTTCTCTCACGTACATTCTACACATATGAATAAATTATCGACACCTAGGACATTCTCGAATCCTTCCTACACTTAACACAAGTATTCCTCATTACTAGCCAACTTATCCTCCCATTTTAACGAACGTCCAATATCAATTCCGCTAATTCTAATTCAATATTTGTCATCTGCATTCCACGCGTATCTCAAGAATACCAAACTGCCGAACCTTCAGACGCTACTGTCTCAATGAATGCGGTTAAAGCAAGGTCATCCCTTGACACCTAGACTCCTCTCTCTCTCTCTCTCTCTCAGAATCTCGCTAATCCTCATCTGAATGAGAAAAAAAAGGGACCTCAATCGAACGTACGATCAACGAGATCCCTTTGAACTTTCCCTTATCACTGTGTTAGGTCGAGATAGGAATCGAAGGTGCGAATTAAAAAGAAACAGATCGTCGATGAGGAAACGTAACCACGTGTCGGGCAACCCTCACGGCAATCGAGAAAGCGCGTGTTGACGCGCCGCAGCATAGCCGCGTGCGCTGGCGCATGCGATCGATACTCTAGACCGCCGGGGTTTTCGCGTCCCCGCGCGACGTCACGATACAAGAGCCGAGGTTCGCCGACAAAGGACGAGGCCGACCGAGACCGGCCGAGGTAGCGCGAGCCACGGTAGCAGCAGCCGTCGACGCGAGCACGGCCCAACCGTCACCGTCGTTTCGACGTCGTGGACACTTTCTTACCGCCGGATCGTCCACGCGGAAATCGAGTTTCTCGAGAGTCCTCGCGAATCGAACCTTCACTTACGACATCGCCTATGTAACATCGTTATCGTACCGCGTCTCTAAAGCCCCGATGATTCACGCTTAACGCCGTGAACCCGCGCGCGAAAGTGATCCCCGGAGTGGTGTGTTTCGTCTCTTGACTGGAAAGGTCGCGATACGAGGATTCCGGGTCGAGCAGAGAATCGAGTAAGTTTTCAAGGGATGATCCGATCGAAATTTGCTCAAACGAACCTTGACATTCTCTATCCTCGCGGTGGCTATCCTTCGTGTACTCGTCTCTTTCGACTCGTGACCTGTGTGTCTCTCGGGTTACGTCGATCCTTCGACTGGATCCTGTCGTTCGCAGAATGAAATTCTCGCGAAAAGTTACGATAACCTGATGGAAGAAATGACAGCGCGTTCGGCTATCGGTCTGACTCGTGACGGTCACATTCTACTGTCGCGTAAAACGCGTTCACCTTACGCGCTCTAGCCTGTGCGAAGAGGGAGAGAGAGGAAAAAAAGATCTGCGAGGGAAAATTACAAGGGACGGTTGATTAGAGTATCGTACGTGGAGAAAATAAAGGGAAGCGGTCGAGTGTCTCTGGCGTGTCTGACCAGAGACGAGCCGCAACCCCTTTAGGTCGCAGCGCAGCTGAGCTCGACCGGGCGCGACCCACAACCCTACATTCGCGGTCTGCGGCGTGACCTAACCTCAACTCACCCCACCTTGGGTGAGCTTCGTTGCCACCCTCTCTCCTTCGACAGGGAGGACTTTACGCACACCGGTTTATCGTTTGCTTTCACGCCAGTTCACGCGATGATACTTTTCGCTCCGCGACTTGTCCTTTGAGTTTCTTTCTAGTTTCCTTCTTCTTTTTGTTTTCTTTCTTTTCGGAAAAGAGTGCAGCGAGACTTTTCGATCGTAGGTGAGAGAGACACTTTTTGGCGTTTGACACGGTAACGGTACAGAGCAGCCATAACTTTGGAACGGTCGAGTCTGACCTTGGCAGAGAGGAGCTCGCGTCTATTACTATCAACGGACCGCGTCTTCCGGCGGTGACGTGTTAATTAATGATCATCGATTTGACGAATCGAGACTGACCTTGGTATCCTAACGAGCCTAACCGCGACGGTGTAATCGAGTGTGCGGCTGTTCTCTGAGACAATTTGCAACGCTGTCTTTTAGATAATTGTACGATTAATACAATTTCTTGAAACGAATGAAAGTTTGAATTGTTTCCGATCGAAATTTCAAACGAACTCTCGTCGTATAAGCAGATCCCTCGGTTCGAGCAAAAACTGTAAACTTCGAGGAACGAATAGAGTACACGGCGAGACAATAAAGGAACACGTGTCACTGTGTCAAAATAGCTTGGCTCACTGAATTTAAATTGAATTATCCGCCGCGACGTACGGCAACGGGGTATGGAAATTGAATTTACATCTTACGTGATTGTGGT